CCAACCCTGGAGGAATATAAGAGCATTAACAAGAGTCACATCAATATCAAGGACTCTAGAACAAGCCACCCGGCTTCTTTTCTCTCTCTTACTGGCTACGAAGACAAACTGGTGCTCGACGCACATTACGAGATAGTTCGCAATAGGATGGCCGGTGTTAACGAGAAGAGAGAATACATTGAAGGCTCAAACCCAGACAGCGTATCGCTAAACCTAGTGGTATTCAACTGGGGAAATATGGATCGAGCGCCGGTGCCCGCAGGGAATCCCAAAAAGAAGCTCAAACCTGAGAAGGGATTCGATTATCACCCTCTTATTGACATGTGCTTCAACAATTCAGCTCATATTACCCTCGTACTCGAGGCAGGAGCACTTGCGTCAGAGTATTCGATCGCAACCATGCGACAACATGAATACAGGGGGATGCTAATCCACTCTCCTCCCAAGGAGCCTGAGGCACCCTCGATGTATATTGGAGTCAAGGGTGACCCAACAACAGACATCGCTCTCGTCCACCACTTTTATCGTCACCGAACAATGAAACCTAAGAATGGTGGTCCCAAGAAGCGACTGTGGGCATGCCACGGTGCGGTATGCCGCCTCACCTTTGGGTACCACAGTACCATACCAGAGGCAAAAGAATGGGTCCACCCATATTCTGGCCAAAGGATGACGAGAGACGAGTTCATGCAGATTATCGGATATGACCCACTCAAGGGCAAAAATCCTGACAAGGATGGACCCACTGATGGCTCTTACCTCTCACCAGAGGCGTGCCTGACACTGTCGAACCTCGACCCCTCGCCGGTTCTCTGTGAATGGAACGGCCATGTCGAGGGTGATGAGCCACCAGAGGAAGACTTTGAGTCATACGCAGAGATCTTCTCACAAGAAGCATCGAACGATCTTGACGAGATGTGGTGTACAAAAGGGCCTTACAAGGTCATCACCATCGCGATCGTCCATTTCAACTCATACATGACTCATAAGGAAGAACAGAGACGCGAACTGGTGAACGCGTTCCTCAACGAGATTCTCCCTTTTAAACCGGATGTAATAGCGGGAGATCTCAATAATATTGCGTCGAGGCTCACCTTAAAAGGTGGAGACGTTCACCCGCGAAACAGTTTGTTTTCTCTATACCTGGAGAAGAAACTTGCAGCATTCAACAAAATAGCAGGAAGGCACTCACAAGTGCGACATCTTTGCTTGAACAACTCCGACCAGCACAGACTGGCACGTGCAGATCGTCTACCGGCGGACCCGGCGAAGAAAGTTGCTGACCTTGACTGTATCAACAGTTATATCCTTGACTGGAGTAAAACGCCGCACACGGCGTCACCTAGTCCAAGAGAGGTCACACCTGCCGCCGAAAGAACATACTGGGAGCGAATCTCAGATATGTGGCAGGACACGAACAACAACAGGGATATTGATATCCGTCTGTTTGTCTCAGTCAAGCAGTACTATTCAACTTTTTCTAACCTTGACCTATGGTTGAGTCCCTCTGACAAAGATTGGCACAGCCCTTTGGGCTTCACGATACAACCAATCCTTACAAAAGGGAAACACAACCGGTCAGATGCCCAGGTCCAAAAGATCGCTGACAAGCGAAAGGCTTACAAGCAGCGTAATGCTGAATACTGGGGTTACAACGATTCATTCGTTTACTCATCCGGCAACAGCTGGTACGACAAATCGCAACCATCAGGTAGCCATCACAGATATGGAAGATTCTGGGAGTGGCCACAGCCTGAACGTCCCAGCGAGCCTGAAGGTCCTCCTCCAAGAAGGAACCAGGAATCATCGTCCTCTTCACAACAAGATCTACCAAGATCAAGGTCCAGGCCTCAAAGAACCAATATTGTTGACAAGCTCAACATGTCTTTGGAAGAGCTGGATGGACTAGAAGAAGAACCGTCACCAACAAAAAGTGACATCGAAGAACACGAAAGAGAAACATCAAACTTGATGTCTGCTCAGAGAGATGAAGAGGAACAAGAGGACGAATCCTCCAGCCGGAGAAGAAGAAGGAAGGCATCGCGTCCACCGTCTGCTCCGAGCGGCAAGGCACTCAGAACAGCTGCTACAGCAGCGGGATTGTCGGGCTGGTTCGGACACCGCAACCGAGGTGGAGCAAACGCAGAGTCTATCAAGACTGATGAAACTTCACTTCCAAACTCACTAACCAGTGAGCAGGACTTCTCCGTCTTCAGCATCGCGTGGAATGTGTTCTTGCTGCTAATGGGCTTACACTGGATGTGGAAGCAGATTACCAGGCCTCCTATCAGATGTATGGAGCGCCAACAACCAAAATCAAAAGCAGCAGCGAACCAAAGAGTTCCATTTCTCGAACCCGAGGATGAACCGCAGACGCGTGAACTTTTAGGACCCAATAGGGTCAATTCCGGAGAAACAACTGATCTGCGACCTATCTGGCATACTTCCCGAAGCGAAGTCTACCATCTCTCAGACAGCTGTTACCAGCTCAAGCAAGCAAGAGATGTTTGCAAGAAGGTGTTATGTAAAAACTGCCTCCATGCAGTACAAGTTGCGGAGATTCGCAGGAACGATCCTTTCCAAAGAGGTGATACACGACCACGTGGCACCGAAAGAGACATTGAGCGCTTCCAGACCTACGATGATGCAAGTAACACTCCTCATATGACACAATTATTCAAAGATGCCTTGCATGCACAAATGGCCGAAGAAGCCATGCAGATTACCTATACATCGATCCCCAAGGGATCCTGGGCAAAGGCCAGAGGTACATCTGCACTCTCAAGTGCCGCATCGTCATCAGCGCCCAAGGCAATGCCACCAGGGCCTAACAAGGCAAACATATCACCTCCACCTAAGAGTCCTCCGCCAAAGGCGAAAGGAACAGTACCTTCTGATCCTCCAAGACCAAAAGGTCCTACCAGAAGAGGAGGTCAAAATCGGCGCATTCAACGAAAGGCAGCTAGAGAAGCCCACAACAGTGGACTCTGCACCTATGCAGACGCTGCACTTAACGAAGCCAATCAAGGCCAGGCAATTAACGTTACGTGCCGAAACATGGCAGCAAGACACGTCAGCTCTATCGATGCAACGGTAGAAGCAGCCGGCCAGTTTACACAACGCGTGCTACAGCACGTAGAAACATATGATGAAGAGGAACCGTGGAGCACGGAGTTCCTACCAGTCGTGGAAGTCCTATTCAGGAACTTAAGCGGCGACGAAACAACTGTCAGACATGACAATCAAACGGTAACTATGCCTCTTGCGAAATACACAGACCTCCTCAGAATCGCACAATCATTGCGAAGCTCTATCCAGAGAGACAAGGAGGAAAGGAAGGAACATCTTGACACCATCCAAGATACTCTATCCAGAGTGGAAATCCTTCTAACAGCACTGAAGGACTCAAGGACAGTCTTTAACCAATTGGTCCATTCCTCACTAGAGATAGAGCGAAGCAATAACAATCTCAAAAATGTCCTCGAGACACTCTTTGACGACCAAAGCTCTGAGGAAGACCAGTCAGAATCTGACAATGAAGAAGTCCTAACTCCTTCTGCAGCACAGTACTGGAATAGCCTTTATGCACACGCCTTATCTCCTTCAGGAGATGAAAGTGAAAGATCATGGGCGTCCTCAGACGGACAGCTTGAAAGAAGAAGGGCTGAACGGGCAAAGGCTAAGCAGCCACAACCGGCTAAAGCCAAGGCAACTCCAGTCAGCTCACAAGCTGCTCCAAGGGCCGAGCCAAAGGCAACAACATCCAACCATGGATATGATACTGCAGACGCCGCCTTCACCAGGGCTGAGAACAGATTACTCGGAATCTTTTCAAGTTCCGAAGAAGATCACTCAGACCCGGATGAGCCACATCCGAACGTCTATGCTCGAGCCTATGATCCAACCCTGGATCCGAATCTGAGATAAGAAAATTCTCAGAGTTTCACAACAGTGAATCACAAGGCTCTAACAAGAGCACAATGAAGGGCTGCATAATTCGGTAGTAGAACATTACCAGACCTGATCTTGTACAGATGATCTCTCTGACCAATATGCATGAGTGTGTGCAAAAGGAGTGACCTCAACAGTGTACTTCAGTGCTATACCTAGCATAAACAATATGCTGTTTTTATCATGAGTCCAAACTCCGCAACTGTGACAGTGGGCATAATAGTATATGTGTGAATGTGCGGCCATGCTTCCGGTAAAAGAAAATTAGTGTCTGTTTGTTTGCGTAAACCTCTAAAGGGGTAGCTCTAACAGGTACCTACAGCAATGGCTGCATGCTCATACATATACATTCCGCTGCCCATTGGCTCACAGTGGTTTTACCATATTGAGACAAGACAAGCTCTCCTTGCGTAGCAAGACAAAACAACTACTGTCCGTGTGCAGGGCGCTGCCCTTTGATCCTTAGGGAATAACTGGTCATACACCTCCTCACAAGGAGTATCCCTTGGGGGTGTATCGGCACAGGGGGAAGGGGGGGGGGAGGGGAGGGGCTGGAAAGGAGGGGGGGGAGGCCTGGGAGGTGGGAGGCCGACAAATGAGGTAAAATGAGGGGAAGCCGGGCAGGGGGTGGCAAACGAACGCAAAAAACGGGTGTCCCCAAACATTTGGACCAGGGGAGGAGGATTAGGTGGAGGGTACCTGAGCTAACCCCCAAGACGCCTGGGCCTCTGGCCTCGGCGGATAATAAGTACAGTTACCTGAATTTTAACCCCAGTTACTAAGTCCCATGATCCTTTAAGCAGGTGCCTGGCGAGCTTGGTGTGGCTTTGGTGCCTGCGGAGCTCTTCCGCCTGAGCCTCGGTGCTGGCCTTCAGGATCTCAGCTTGCTAGCCGTCGCCGAAGACCAGGGCTTTGCCAGAGGGATCCTCCAACTGCAGCACGATTCTTCCGTCGGCCTCGTCTGCGATGATGGCTTCGATGATCGGGTGGCGCAAGTGGCCTGCCGTGATCTCGGCTTGGCCGGTGGCAGGGCCCTGGCAGCCTTAGCAATGTGGGGTGCTGCGGGGGCCGGCACCATCCTTGCTGACAACATCAGGTGTACAGGCGCAGAAATGAGCCTTCGCGAATGCTTCTTCCGCGGGTGGCACGTCCACGACTGCGCTCCTGAAGAAGCCGCAGGCCATTTAAATCAAAAGTAGGACTGCTTCATGTCGTGTGTTTTTTTTTGCTTTCTTTTGTGGGCTTACTTTCCGGTGCAGGTCTCGAGTGCCAGTCGGATGCCTGGAGCGACTTCACGCCCGCCGGAAGCCCCGCCGGGCGCCAGGACGCCTCTGTGGTTTGGGACAGCGAGACTCAGTCTGCATGGATGTTCGGGGGCCACGCCAGCAATGCCTTCCTCTACTTTGCGGACCTGTGGCGCTACGACTGGCCTCGACGAGCTTGGACGGAGATCCTGCCGTTGAGTGGGGGTGCCGCCCCCGGCGCCAGATGGGGCCACGCGGCCGTGTGGGACGAGCAGTCCAGGTCTATGCTGGTGTTTGGCGGCCGGTTCCAAGTCACCTTCTACGACGACGTCTGGCAATTTCTCAGCGAGGACGGCGCTTGGAGGCAATTGCCAGCCTTGGCGAAGTCATCGGCACGCGCCTACCACACGGCGATCCTGGACCCCGTGGAGAGGGCCGTGCTCGTCTTCGGAGGTGAGAGCGGTAGCCAGGTGTTGGAGGACCTCCAGCGCTACAGTTTGGCGGACGGCCAGTGGAGTGAGTCTTTGGCACAGGGGCCGGGAGCCCGCAGCCGACACACGGCCGTCTGGGTGCCCACAACCCGGTTCATGCTCGTTCTTGGAGGGTGGAGCGGGCAGCAGTATCTGGATGACCTGCGCAGCTACGATGCTTCGGCAGGCACCTGGACGGACTTGTCAGCTTCAGGATATTGGCCCGCGGCTCGCGCTGGACATGGTGCCGTGTGGGACCCCATTTCAATGAGCATGCTAGTCATGGGCGGCATCACCAATCTCAGCAACGACCTGAGCTACGATGCCTCCATCTACAACTACAGCCTCTTGACGAACTCTTGGAAGGAGGAGGGTTTGCAAAGTCAGGTCGTGGGCCCAAGTGGCCGTACGGGTCATGGCGTTGTTTGGGACTTCGCTTCTCGCGGCTTGCTGTCCTTCGGTGGTTTCAATGCCTCCTACTTGCAGCAAACCTGGCGATACGTGGTCAGTCAGACCAACCCGCCCTTTCTGGTCCACTGCCAGCAGGGCCGCAACTGTTCCTTCCGCCGGAATGCCTCCGGCTCTGTGGCCGCGAAACGCACCTGCTCCGACCCGGATTTCTTGGCAGGACTCCCTATGCTGCTCTCTGGTGAAGCAGAGGAGGATCTCTGGATGTTCGGAGGAAATGCATCTCATTTCTTCACGGAACCGGGTCATCACCGCCTCTGCTGGTGTGATGTCGTCAACTGCAGCCACCCCGACAACTTCAGTGTGACATTGGGCTACTTTGTTGTAGAGGGGCCGCAACTGCACCAGTCCGCTCGCTGCTACCTTGGCACAGACTGCACGATCGCCGGGTGGCGAGGAGTCGGCATCTCCGCGAACGACAGCCTCGTGATGCAGAGCCGATGTAACGGAGAGCCGCAGGCCTCTTCTTCCACCTACCCCCGGCGTTCGGTCACCGTCTCCTTCAACGAGTCCTACGGTTGGCACACCTTGCACGTGGGCTTCCTGGACCCTTCGGAGGGCCTGAAGCCGGAAGCTCTGGAGCTTTGCTGGTGCCCTGCCACGGCGGCCCCGTGCGCTTCGGCGGAGGACTTTCTCGTGGTCGCCCTGAGCCTGGAGGTCCTCTGCCCGCCCGGCGAGTACAGCGAAGGGCCCGGCTCCTCCTGCCTGCCCTGCCCACCGAACTTCTTCTGCCCCGGAGGATCCGAAGTCCAAAGCTGCCCGTCGGCGAGCACTTCGATGCAGGGCTCACGTCCGCCTCTCAGCACTGCGAGATACTGCGAGCATTGCATGCGCTGCTCTCATCTCACAGAGCACACCTGAGCGTCGGCGTGTCACTCAGCTGTGCTCTTCCACCGAGGCCAACTCCCCGACTGCCTTTGCCTTCGAGGGCGCTACTGGGATGCAGAGAGCACCATCTGCCTGGCGTGCCCCGCCGGGTCTTCGACGTTGCAGGCGGGTCGTCTGCAGGTCGTTCGTAGGTAGCTCAGCATGGTGAGGTGTCTTCTCCTCCTTGTCTTGTCGGCTGCACGGCATACCTGCTCAATGACTGGAGGAGGGCGCCACCGGCCTTGCGTCCTGCACCTGCATGCCCGGCTTCTTCAATACGCAGAATGACAACCCGGCAGTTTGTGAAGCCTGCGGCGTGGGCTTCTTCTGCACAGGGGGCCTGCAGACCCCGCAGCCGTGCGCCGCGTCCCAGACCACCGAGAGCGACACTTCAGCCGACGAGTCCCAATGCGTTTGCAGAGCTGGCGAATTCTTGCAGGACGGGCTTTGCGCCCCATGTCCGGTTGGATTTTTCAAAAGCAGCGTTGGAGACTCCCCGTGCGCGGAGTGTGGTGGTGGCACCTTCAGCAACAATACTGGCAGCACAGAGCGTTGTAGATGCCGACAAGGCTTTGGTTTGGATGAGGAGACAGACCAGTGCACAGAATGCATTCCCGGCGAGTACAAAGCCCTGGTGGGAGACATCCCTTGCAGCCGGTGTTCCGCCAACAAGACCTCGATAGAGGGTGCCACATCTCCCCTTGATTGTCGATGCCGCTCAGGTCTGGCAGAAGAGGGCCAAGCCTGCCGAGTTTGCAGAGCAGGCTTCTTTTGCCCAGGCCAGGGTGAAGAGCGGCGATGTCCGGAGAATGCTACCTCACGCGCTGGCTCCCTCCAACAAGCAGACTGCTTGTGCAACCCGGGGTACTATGCCCTTGAAGCTCGGGCCATCTGTGAGCCTTGCCAACCTGGACGCTACAAGCCCACGCTGGCTAACGATGCAACGTGCCCTTTACAGTGCCCTACAAATGCCCAGAGTGCCAATGCGTCCACCGATCTGCGAGACTGTTTCTGCGTGGCAGGATTCTATGCAGTTCTGGATGAAGCAGGATTCCTAGCCAGTTGCGCGAGTTGTGCACTACTCCCAAATCTCCAATGTTTGGGTGGTTTTCACACTCAAGCGGGCATTCACCGGCTGCCTGTTGCTCAGCCAGGCTACTTTCAGACAGGAGTAGCTATTGCTGTGAAGTGCAGCGCCGTCACGGCCAGTGGGTTCAGTACTTGTCTCGGCGGGAAGCCATGCGCACAAGGTGAGGCACTAGAATGCTTTGGCAAATATGCCAACGCTTGCGACGAAGGCTCCACCGGAGTGTTCTGTGGAGACTGCCCAGCTGGTTGGGCCAGGAGTGCCTATCAACAGCCATGCCGACCTTGTGCGTCCGATGCTACTTTCCCACTGGTAGCCTCAGTCATCATCGATGTTGGGACGAAGGCCGCGAGTGCCGAATATTTTTCAGATTTTCCCCAACAGCACGACGAGCTCTGAATTTTTCAGCCGAAATAAGGTTTGGGGCAGATTGGGGAAGGCCTGGGGCAGGTTCCGGGTTCCAGGGCGGGGGGTTTGGAGTGGGTTCTGCAGCGGGTTCCGCCGGGCGGTTCCGAGTGTTCCGAGCTGGTCGGCTTCTGTTGAACGGGTGCTTCTTTAGACGACACAACATATGCATCAAAAGCATCGATGAGTCTATGCTGGAGTACAACTCTGACACCAAAGCTCTAGCTCAAGCATGCATGTTCGCAGCGGTCTGAGACTCGTGGTCTGCTTAACTAAACCTCTCCCGCAGGGCCAAATGCATTTTCCAAGGCCTGCTACACGAATTTGAGGCCACGGTTTCAACCAAATCTGGATCTGAATGCTGTCCCTACATCCGAAACTCGCACCGACAATGCTTGAATTAGCATTCCCGAGCTTCAACATGCATTTCATAATTCGTTTCTCAAGGCTTGGAAAACACATTCACACCTGTTTCAGCTTGGCCGGTGCCCCTGGTCCGATTCCCGAGGCTTTCATTGAGCTCTCGAAGCCCCCGACCAGCCCAGACGCATTTCCCAAGTTTCAACGGAACTAGAGCTCAATGCCGCCCCTGCACCCGAAAATCGTCTGCAAATGCTTTAGTTAGGTTTCCAAAGCACCAGGCTGCATGTTCAAGGTCTGGAAAAGGCGCTTGCTGAGCTGTTTCAGCTTTGCTGGTGTTTCTGCTCCCAGTCCCCGAACCGAAATCAACTTACCTTTGGTTAGTAGGGAATGGAGGAATGGGGTACAATTATAACTAGTATTATAACTACTATTACTACCATTCTTCCATTCCCTCTGATGAAGGCCAAATGCTTTTCCCGAGGGGGCCGCTAAACGGGCATGGACACCCATCTACAGCTCAGTCAGCTTTTCTGGTGCCCTTAACGTGAGTCCAACGACAGCCATTCCACTGCTGGGGATATTCAATGGGATTATCAGGGGAATTGGCCTAGCCCAGAAGCTTTTAACTGCCAGTTCAAGCCAACCCGAAGTAGCATATTCGTGCTGGAAGATTGCCACTGACCATCAGACCATGGAAAGTGCAAGAAGTGGGAGGGAGCGGGTAGTGGGATGACAGGCCACGATCAACTTCGTGGTGGCGGCCATGGCCGCAACGGCAGCCGTCAGAGCAAGCACGAAGCTCCACACGGTGATGATTCGCATCGCCATCCAGTGGTTGGCTACCTGCTCCGTCCTGACGGCCTTCGACCTCAGTCAGATTCCGCTCGAGAACACGGAGACCAGGGGGGGCGAAGAGGAAGAGAATTCGCTCTTCCCGTGGCCTCTGCAGGCGAAGGGTCCTTCAGACCGGAGATTCGACCCCTGAAAACCCGCTTTACCCCGCAGGTCAGTGCAGCGATGCGGGGCCTCTTCGAGACCCTCACGCTGACGCCCGTTTTGACATCCGTCGATGTGGCCACACAGTGCTTTGCCCAGGCCATTAAGAGCATGCGATGGTGCTACACAGTCAGTAGACTATATGCGGTCGACAAAGTGCTTGGCAACCAAGACCGTGCCACAAAGATATCGCAGGTACCCCAGGCCAATTATTAATCGCGGAGCTCAGGTTGTGTGTTGCCTGAAGTCCGAGACCCATCTAACAAGCTCGAATTCATCCCATTCAATCCTTAGACCGAGTAAGTGTATGGATACAGGGAGCCAGTGTATGCTGCATGATTCCCAAAAAAAAGAACGTTGACATGTCAGCTTCTGTCTCTCCATGTATTCTTGCAATCTAGCGGTTTCGGACTCTGTCAGGATGCGCCACGTGTCGCCATTGGAGTGTACCACCTCTCCTTGCCCGTCTTAGTCATCATCGGTATCCTTCTTCTCTCCTTCTTGGTGGTGCACGTGGCGGTGCCTGTGGGGCAGCGTTTCGGCTTCTCCTTCAACGAGTTCGGACGCAGCTTGAAGCAACTGCGGAAGGTCATCGACCCCATGCTGAAAGAGATTTGGTGCAAACCTGTCGCTTCCATGACCGAAGCTCCGAGCACATTGGCATTGGGTACTCCTGACGCCTTCTCCTGGGCGGACTTGGAGCGCTTGGGCATTTTGGGGAACCTCACCACGGCGCAGCTGCAGCAAGCAGCCGAGAACCCCGACAGCTTCCTGCGCGCAGCTGCAGCCGGGTCGCGAGAGCTCCTGCTCAGCGCCTGTGCGGCCCGTACTGCCCAGCTGCACCCGCAGGCCGAGGCACAACAGGTTTACCAAGAGCTGGCGCAGGCGCCGCAGCTGAGCTTGACTTGCAGCGCGCTGTCTGAGCCCGAGCTGTGACGGTTTGGTTTGTGATTGCTGCAATCGCACTTGCGCAGGCGCATCTCCGAGAGTTCCTGACCCCGGAGTTCGCCACCCAGTCTCCGAATTTTACGGCGATGCTGGACACGGTCCTGGATGCCGCATACACCTTCAACGAGGAGACCCTGCCCGTGCCGGAGGAAGGCCCTGAGCAAGAAGAGGCTGATGAGCTCCGGCTCGTGGGCTCGGAGCACGCGGAGCACGCACATGGCGATGTCGTCACCGTCGCCTCGGCCGCAGACGAACTGCCCGGACCCCAAGAACTGAGCTACTGTACCCGTGCTTGTACTCCGAAGCCTTTCCCGAAGCTTCCTGTGCTTTGCTTGCCGAGGCCCGCCAAGACACCCTTTGCGGCAAACAGCACCTTCAGTACTACATCTTTGGAAAACCGGGCATTCCTGATGGACTCTCTGGACTTTGGCCTATTCTCAGCGGCACCTCGTTTCGGCCAGCTTGCACGCCAGAGCATTCCAGTCATCTGGGTGAGCCTGGTGTCTTTATGGCCTGGGCTGCTGTCCAGCTTCCTTCAGATGATCTGGTGCGTGCCAGTTCCGGAAGACGATGTCATCGTGAACCGACTGCTGCCCAACCCCTCCGTCATTTGCTGGTCCGACGAGCACCTGGTTTCTGCTCGCTTCGCCATCGCTGGACTCTTTTTTTGGTGCCTGGGCATACCGATTGCACTGGCCACCTTATTGCTGCGCCTCCCCGATAGACACGCTCCTGACAACTTCAGGCCAGGTCGAAAGACAGGGCCCATTGTGAAGTATGCAGAAGACGTGAATTCCAAGCCCTGATTCGCAGGCGATTCGGCTATTTCTTCCAGGGCCTGGAGCGACAGTTTTGGTGGTGGGATCTCCTCGTCAAGCGCTTCGACGTGGCCTCAGATCGAATCCCCACAAGTGGTGTTGTTTGACAAGTGCTGAAAGCTTGCTGTGGGAACAGGGAGCGTTTGAGAGCGTGTTTAGGACGGCCATCGGTTTGAGGTACTCGTCACTCGTTTGCTGTTCGCCCCTGCATGGGCACACGTATGTATCAGGGAGAACAGCCCTTTGAAGGGCCCAAGAAGTCAGCCGAGGACCTGGGGCTGATGATGCTCGTCGCCTACACTTCAGTTGTGCCCGATCCCGCGGCGAAACTCGCTATCTTCCCTGTCCTCTCGGGATTCCAGGCGTGCTTGCAGTCAAGGACTCAAGGGCCAGGTTCCGTACTTCCATGAGGAAGACACATGCAACCCTCACCGCTTTCTGGAAGCATCTGCACTCAGCCGTGAAAGCCGGCAGGCGTTGCTGGTAGCGTGCGTCCGGCCCTATACAAACGATCAAGCTGAGATACTGGATGTCTTGGAGGCCATCGGGGTGTTTCTGCTGCTCATCCGTGCTTTGAAGGGTTTGCCGAGTGCTTCCGCACAGGTGACCCTGTGCTCAATCCGGTTTCTGCTCTTCAGTGGAGTGGCGATGCTTCTCAACCTGGAGACGTCGACACAGACGGTTCACTTGCCACTGTGCCGAAACCTGAAGCTCCTAAGCCCTGTCCTGAATCCCATACGCGGGCCCGACCGGGAGCCAATCCAGGGTGGCCTACCTCCTCTTGCTGGTCTTGGTGCTTGGCTGTATGGACTTCTTCGCCCACTTCGCGGCGCAGGTCGGCAAGAGTTTTGTGTTCTCAACAGGCACTTGCATACTTCGTCACGATCGTATTCTATTGTCAGTTACGGCTGTTGCGCTAGTATTCGTTACGAGTACTACTGCAGTACATACAGACTACACAGCCGCAAAATGCTACAGGCTGTTGCATGCTCTTTCCTTTCTCATCATTATCTCTGTTACTATCATGAATCATGATCGGCATGGCATCTTGGCACAGTTTCGTATCGCTCTTGCAAAGACCATCAGGAGTGGAGGTTGTGGTTACAGCTCCTATATATGACCATTCCTCGAGACAAGCAACAAAAGCAACAACCACCACCGCCACCGCCACCACCGCCACCGCCGCCGCCAACGCCGCCGCCGCCACCGCCACCGCCGCCGCCACCACCACCATCACCGCCACCAGCACCATCATTCCTCCTCCACCGCCTCCTCCTCCTCCTCCTCCTCCTACTACCACCTTCTTTTTACAACTGCTACTGCTGCGTGTCATGCTCGTGATCGTGTTTGTACTGTTCCGATTTTTGTTAGTTTCGCTTTTGGTTGCTTCTTCTGTTGTTCAGCGCCCTAAACCCTAAACCCTAAACCGATATTTTAGCAGGATCCACGGCTGTCAGCTTCGCTCCTTTTGTTGGGAGGTCTTGCGAGATGCAGCGACTCGGACCAAGTCTTCGGCTGAAAAATCCGCGCCCTGGAGATCTTTAGGCGGGGGGGTTCCGGGGGGGGGGGGGGGGGGGGGGAAGTACTGAACTGTTGGGACACGTGCCGGCACCTGTTGGAGAGAGCAGTGGCAGCAGCGATGGAGGTGGATTTCAGCGCTTTGTCATCGACTTGGCGTTGCCCTTGTTTACCGAGGCGCGGTCTGCAAAGGGTGCAAAGTGAAAACCATCAAGCACAAACATAAATGTATCGTAAGCACATACCTGTCATAGCCTCCTTGATGCTCGGCGGTTTCCACCGCAGGTTTGCGCATGTGGAGGCTGTACCTCCATGAACTTGTTTGCAAAGCAGGTTTGCCGGCCATGTTTGGCTGTGCAACAATGACACAACAGAACTCTCGAGGGAATGCTAGGTTTTGCAAGGCGGCCACCAGGCGACAGCGACGGTTTACGAAGTCGTTGCAGCTTCAGAGTTGAGGCTCTCCTAGGACCGAGAGTAGGCCCTTATTCCCTTGTTTGAGGCTTAGGTTCCCTTATAAACCCCTTTAAACCAAAAAGGGCACCCTTTTTATTCCTAGGTTACTCTTAGGCCTCGTCTCATGTTGGCGGATCTTGTTGCAAGGTTGGCATATCAGCATTCCGACAGTTTATTCAGCTTCAGTCAGAGCTGTCTGCAGAATCGGCTTGGCTCATGTCCGTCCTACCCTGGAGCCTGAACACAGGCAGAGTCAGATTCCCTTGAGCTTCTTTGGTCTTTCTCATCGGAGACGATCGTGATGACGACTCCGGGGCTTGATGCAAGGCGCGCACGGTCTCGGAGTGCACATGCTAGTCCGCAACCTGTCACTCGGCCAGGAACGACCCACAAATGGCTCAGACGGCAATCGGCAAGCTTCGTGTCTCGGACGACCCTTAAACCCGAAAGCCTAGACCAACCGCAACCCTCAATGGTCAGTCTTTGGCACTTCTGTATGCATGTAGCGGGAGGGAGGGTGCAAAATTCCGCCATACAATCCTAGCAGTCTAGAGCAACCTAGATCTTCCTCAAGCAGATAATCCTTTGTGCGACCAAGCCAGTCCTTGTCCAGTCTTGAGCCAATGCTATTAGTCGTCAGAGCATTCACAAATGCATCGTGGACATTAGGTGCACTCCTGGGCTCATGACATTTAGCACAGTCCCTTGATCCTGCATTTAGTCGGGGATCATTCAGACAGTCAGTTAGCGGTACATAGCAGCTTTCGTGAAGCGATTAAGAAGCATTCAAGCAGAATTCAGAAACGGCCTCAAGCCATTGGCTTCGGTCGGGTCATTTTGGCTCGACTTGGATCACATTCCGATCGTTGCAAAATGCGGAGGCGCATTGCGCTGTACAGATAATCGCTCGCAGTTCGGGTGTCGTTTTTGAATGCGAGAACTTCAGTCCCTGCGATGCACAGAAAACATCCACCCAAACATTTCAAGTCTCGCTTCACTCAACCAAAACGTGCGTCATGATTCTAGCACTTCTCAACTGATTCGATGGCCGTCGAGCCGTTGGTCAGCGTCCGAAGATTCTGGACGCCCTGCTTGGAGAGGCCGGCCGTCTCCTCCAAGATGAACGCCTTCGGAGTTCGGAGGGTATCGTCAGATACCGGTCGGCACCAGAAAACTTCTGCTCCCGATGCACAGCGAGGACAAAGTTTTTTCCCGCCGCCTCTGCCCTTCAAACAAGGCAGCCCCGGACCACCCGCCTCTTTTCGGACACATCCTTCTCGCCTGCAATGCCGTCCAGTATGTTGAGCACTGCCTGCAGGTCGTCCGGCCTACTTGCATGCTCAAAGCGGCTTTGGAGATCCCAGCCAAGATGCTTGCTTCTCAAAGCGCCTCCAAAAAAGGAACATCGGTGTTCTGGTTCCATCGGTGCAGTGCCTTCTTCCAAAGCCGGTAGCTCGCCCAGCCTCAGCAGGAGGGTCGCTGTAGTCACCCTTTATCGTGGATCCTTGCTGCCACCACCATGGTCTCCAGTCGCCTCGGTTGATCCCCACGACTGTCCTTGCCATGATGACTGCCATTGGCCATCGCTCGGCCCTGCTGAGTCCTCGGCGGCGGCAGGTGCCTGCAAAGCCCCATCTCCGTCTCCAGCAGTCGCCACTAGCAGGCCCCGCTGCCTGCTTTGCCGACCACGTCGCCCAAGATCCACCGTAGGAACCGCCCCAGTAAGACTGCGACCCAGCTGCACTCTGTTGCCTTCCACCATAAGCCATGGCCCGGAACGAGGAGACAAGCTCCCCTACCACAGGTGGATGAACTGGAGGCACCTTCTTATTTCAGCCCATGTCGATAATCGAAGTGGTCGAAGCTTTCTGCATAGCAGATTCACTCCACAGGTTTCACATTCCCAACGAAGCTGGGCCAAACTCAAGCCCAGGTACAGGATGGCCGGGGACGCCTGTAAGGGGTTGGCTACCGGGGCATTGGCGTCCAGCTTGCTCATGATTTAGTGTTCATTTGTGAGCGCTGCACGAACTTACTGCGCCGGACGAATTCCTTCCTTATCCCGGGGTGTGCACTTCTTCGGGGGGAGGTGCACACTTGTGCATCAACAGTGCGACATTTTGGAGTATTTTGTATGTCCGTGCATTCGGGGAATTGCAAGATCGCTTGACAGTTTGGATGGGTTCCGAAGGATGTGGAGTAGGTACGTCATCACATATGTAGAGTCAATGTCATGTCCCCAAGGGACGATGAGACAACATGTCCTGCAAGCTGCTGATTTTGTCAAAGCGCCCAGGAGCCAAAATGTGGTTAGCGCTCCGACAGCTGAGCAAAGCTGTGTTGCGACATGGTCGCCGCTTCAAGCAGGCTGCTCTGTTGAAGGCTGGGGTAAAGGGTTCAGCTTATTTAGTGCACACATGTACATACTTAAGAACTTGATACCTGGGTGCATGGGTGGCTAGAAACATGCGTGCTTCTATCTGTTTGCTTGCATACATGTGTTTTTGTATACATTAATCATTCGTGCATGGGTGAGTTCTTGCATGCGTGTGTCTACCTCGTCACGCGTGACCATCTGTTTTAACCAAGACACCTGTCATGTCAAGACACATAGATGCATACGTACATACATTACACACGCTACATGCATACATACACATACGTATCATATACCCATGCATACATGCTTACATACGTTACATACACCTACGCCTACACGTACACATACACATATACATGCACATAGCACACACACACACGCATACATACACGCATGCATACACAGACACAGAAACATACACATACACATACACGTATACGTATACATATGCATGTACATCTACATCTACATTTACGCGTTCAGTCGCGTATTACATATTACATATTGCAGATTACAGATTACATGTTACATGTTGCATCTTACATTTTGCATATTACATACTACATACCTCATACTACATACTACATGTACATGTACATATACATATACATGTAAATAATTATACATATACATGTACATATACAAGAACATGCATACAGACATAAAGACGTAGACATACAGACATAAAAGCATAGACATACAGACATAATCACCTACATACATACAGGCAGACAGACAGACAGACATATGCATACACAAATTCATGTGCGAGATCCTTTGTCTGCAAGGCTTGCGAGTGTCCAGGACCTAGGAATCTGGTGTTGGGCATGCAACTTCTGATGCAGTAGCTCTGGCCCTGAACTGGCGTCGGGAGGCCTATGATGACTTGCTTGAACTCTGCCTCCAGCTGGGGCAGATCAGGCTGCCTACACAGAAACAGGCCTGCGCTCTTGCCACAGCGTCAAAATCACTGCCGCGCTCCCTAGCCAAAAGCCGCCTCTGCGTTGCATGGATGCAGCAGCTCGAAGCACTCTTGCAAAAAGATCCGCCTTTCAGATGCAGCCCCAGCGATCTGGAGCAAGCGGTTCAGCAACTGGGGAGAATGTCGTCAGAAGACGGTTCCCTTTTGATCGAACATGTCATAACCTTGTGTGGCAAACACGTCCAGCCAGATGCCCACTAGAATAGTGGTTTGATGTACACGAAGTGTCTCAATGAACTTTCTGCTCGAAGCCGAGCACGGCAAGTTCGAATGATTTCGAACTGCCCCGACAGAGTCTCTGGGTCCGGATGCTTGTGTGAGCTGCATGGCTTGAGGATAGCTTCAGCTAAGTCGCGCAGACCACGCAAACGCTTGTTGCATTCCACGCAAGCACTTATTTTGTTTTAGTCCGGTTCGAGCAGATGTGTCGGTGAAGTACAGTCCGTGTTGCTGACCGCTGCAAGTGCTGATTTTGCACCCTGCAGATGCAGCCCCATAATTGGCGACCTGGAGCAATCGGTTCAGCAACAGGGGCCACTAGAATTGTGATTTGATGTACACGAATTGATCGAACTTCCAGGTGTTGCTCTAAGCAAGTTCGAATGATTTCGAACTGCTTTTACGCAGTCTCTGGGTCCGGACGCTTGAGCGAGCTGCATTGTTCATCCTTGATATTCGACGCGAAGCACAGTCTATAACGGTGGGGTTGCACCCCCTGCATGTGCTGGAGTTGGGTTTTTGAACTCTAAGATGGGAGTCGCTGTTTCCCGAGTGCAGTTGTAGTTTTCATGCTGCTGGTTTTCTACCTTAAACTACCAAGCCCTATTTTTTGTAGGTTCTTATTATAAACCCTAATATGGAATTTATAGGGACCCTACAAAAAAGTAGGTTTTGGTAGTTTAGGGTAGTGCTCAACTCACATGCTGGAAATGCAAGCGAGCTGATCCGACCCACCAGTCTGGCAGCCTCACTAGGCCCTGTGTTTGTGTACTAGTTAATAGGGTTTTCGCAGTTTTTTTTGGCATCTGCAGGCGATTGAATGGGTGGACAATGAAGCAGTTCTGACTGTGTACTCTGTACGTTGAGATTACTCCGTACCTTTGGGCCTGGTTGCAGGGTGCCTTGTTGTTATCTCAAATCGGTTAGGTTTGGCATGGGTCGAGATCTGTTGGAATGCGACTAGGCCCGACACAGGCTCCTCCTACCCAGGATTTCTAGAGGCTTACTCAGCTGATGCAAAAGGGCCCGCACAAAAAAAGCAAAGAAGCCCTCACCCCCCAACCTTAAATTCGAAACCCTGGACACTAAACCCCTCGTAAGCCTTAAGCCCTATAAACACCAAAACCCATCAAAACCCTAACCGTTAAACCCTAAACCCAAAACTCA